GCACTGGACGGGGCCGGTGTCACCCCCGAGTGTCCGTCCTACAACCAGCCATCCCAACGGGAACCAATCCATCCGGAGAGAGAGGCGACAGTCCTGCCATAATGGGTCTGTGCCGTGCTTCAGAAGGCTTCATTTCCTTGAACAGAGAAAAGTCAAGTGATATCACTAAAAGGGAAAGATTAGACTGAAAAATATGAATTTAAATGCAAACCCCGAGTGGAATTTCTTGGATGACCAAGAAAAAGGGACGGATTTGAAAATCCATCTCGAAAGGCCTGGTGCCAGCGTTGGGGGCTGCCGGGGCCTCGGGGGGTCTCTGCTCCGACCTCCTGCTCCAAACCCCGCCGTCCCCCGGCAGACGCCTGGCACCGGACAGACCCCCCAGCACAGAGGGGTCCGGGGGGGTCCGTTACGACAGGGTGTGTTTGTACCCCCCTCAGCACGGGGGGAGCACTGGTTCCACACACCCCCAGCCTGGTCTGGTGGAGCACGGGCTGGGGGCGACGGGGAAACGGGGAAATGAGCAAAAGGAGTCAAGTTCACAAAAAAGGGGTGGCTGAAGAGCAGCCGCTCGGGCACACGCGGAGCCCCGTGACTCGGGGAGTGGGACCCACCCAAAAAACCTCCGTTTAAAGAGTCAGAAATGAAATCATCTCCCGGGTGGTGAAACCACAGCCCCAGGGCCAGGAAACGGGGCCCTTCCTCTGGGAAGGGAAACACCCCAGAAGGATTCGGGGGTCACGCAGTGACTGGGGGGTGAAAAACTGCCCCGAGGGGGGTCAGGGCAGCCGGGGAGGGTCCATCAGGGGTGGCGATGAAGAGGATGGTGGAGGCTGAGATGAAGAGGATGGTGGGAGGCTAAGATGAAGAGGATGGTGGAGGGTGAGATGAAGAGCATGGGCAGAGGATGCGATGAAGAGGATGGTGGAGGCTGAGATGAAGAGGATGGTGGGAGGCTAAGATGAAGAGGATGGTGGAGGGTGAGATGAAGAGCATGGGCAGAGGATGCGATGAAGAGGATGGTGGAGGCTGAGATGAAGAGCATGGGCACAGGCAGTGGATCTTTCTCCCAGCGAGACCACGCACCCCCCCGGTGCAGGGAGATGCTCGGGGCTGGGGGGGGCAAACAGATTGGGGGAGAGGGGGCTGCCCCACGGGGCTGGAGCAGGATTTTCGGGTCGTGACTGAAGGAGTCGGTTCCAGCAGCGGCGATTCCTGCAGACGGGCAATTTCCGGGAGAAAATATCCAGATCCGAGAGATCCTCCTTCGGGGGAAGGGGAGCTGCGGTGCTGCGGGAGCGGCACAAAGAGGAGGTGGTTTTAGTGGGGGCTTGGGGGGGTTTAACTCCCAAAACGCCCTCGGGGTGGGTGAACGCAGACAGAGCTCTTCTGGGCTGGACAGTCCAGAGTCTCCTGTCAGCCCCGGAGAGGACGCTGCTCTCGCTGTTGGTGGCCCAGCTCCCCGTTTCTCCAAGGCTTCACCACCTCCTGGTGGCCAGTAGCCCCGCTCTGGCCAGGCCACGGCCTGTCCCCGGGTCACCGGGCACCCCGGGCACCCCGCACCAGGGCAGGGGCACGGTCCCAGCGCCCGGGAACGGGGGTCTCTGCCCAGGAGCTCTCAGTGAGGAGAAGGGTCGGGGAGCAGTGTCAGGGCTGTGACCCACCGTCCCCGTGACACCCCCCACCCCCGGTGACCTGCCCGGGTTCCTCGGGGCATTTATTTACCCTGCCCTTAAAACCACCCATGGCTGGGATCCGACAACTTTTGCCCTTCTCCGGTGCTCAGACGTTCTCAGAAAATTATCAGACTTTGAGTTCCCTCCCTGCAGCTCCAGCAGACGATTCCTTTTCCTTCCTAAATGACTCCCTCCCTCTTTCCATCTGTTTTCTCCATAATTTCATACATACAAAGTCAGGGCAATCCCTTTTCCAGCCGAAATGAGCCCGGGCTTTGGAGCTTTTCTCAGGACCCAGGAGCCCGTGGCTGCTGCTGGGTCTTGCTGATCCCGCAGGGATGGGGGGCTCCCCCCGTTCTGCAGATCCTCCTCCTCCCGCAGGGTCCCGCTCTCCGGAGGAGCCTTCGGGGGGAAGGGAAGGGCTTGGGGCTCCGGCACCAGGGCAAGGGGTTCTCAGGATCCCAGCCATTGAGGGAGGGAGGGAATGAACTCCTCAGCAAACCTCCCATTTCCTATGGAACGTGCCGTCCATGGTATGAAACCACCTTGGGGTGAGCACCCAGGTCTCGCTCCTCCTTGTCCCTGCTCCTGGGGGGCTCCAGAACACCCGGACCTTGGACCCTGCACCCCAGAGCTGGATAAAAAAGTAAGTATTTTCACCAATTCAGGCAATTTAGAGTTCTAAAAGTGCATTTTCCCCCAGCATCAGAAGAGAAATGAGCCCCCTGTGGCTCAGACCAGGACAGCCCTTGCCTGGCCCAGGAGCTGGATGAGATGAGTCAATGTGACTTTCTCTGGGATGCCATCGGTCACCCCCACCTTCCCTGTCCCCACACCGTCCCCTCCCCACACGCTCACAGAAAGCTCCTCGGTGGCTTTCGAGGATAATTTCTGGACGGGAGGTTGGGCTGATCCCCTTTGTGTCTCCGGTGTCCCCCAGCAGAACATGGGGATGGGACAAGGCACGGGTTGCCACCAAGAGGGAGCATCCCCTGGACGCCCCACATGGGGCTGGGGGGTCCCCCACTACCAGCAGCCCCCCGGGGAGGGGACCCCCCCACGCCGTGGTGCAGTCACGGCACCGGCTCCCCCGGCGCTGGAAAAGCTGAGCCCGAGTTGGTGGGAAGGAGGAGGAGATCGTGGAGAGGAGCCCACGGGAACGGCAAGGAAACAGATGGAGCTGGAGCTTCTCAGAGACGGAGGGAAAAATCAGGAGAGAAGTGAAAGGCAGGGAGAGGGAGCGTGGCTTCGGAGCGGGGGAGGAAGGCGAGAGCTCGGGGGGAGACGAGCCTGGGGCTCTCCGGGACACAGACACCCAGGGATGGTCGGACGGAGGCTGTCGGTGGCCACGGGAAACAGAATCTGCTTCTTGGGGTGAATTTCAGGCTCAGGACCCCAACTCTCCCAGCGCAGGGGCGCTCCCCATCTACAGCACTTCCAGCTGACGCTGCCTTCGCGAGTGCCTCAGACTGGCACTGCTGCCAAGAGGAGCGATGCCTCCTCCTCATCCTCCTTCTTCTTCTCCTCCTTCTCCTTCTTTTCCTTCTCCTCCTTCTCTTCCTCCTTCTTCTCCTCCTTTTCTCCTTCCTCCCACCACTGCCCCAGTCCCATCACTGCACACACAGATGTGCTGTGGAGGGGTCCCCGGTGCAGCCCCACGTGGGTCTGGGCACGTCCCCAGCCCCGAGAGCAGAAGGAAGGGGTCACAGCACCCTTTGGAGTTCCCGAGGTGTGGGAGGTCACCTTTGGGCGGTTTTGAGGAGTTTTGGCCCGTTTTCCATCCCCGTGGCACACACTGAGCTGAGGGGCAGAGGGGAGCTCCCGGTGCAGGGGAACGGGCCGGTTCCTGGGGGGCACAGGGAGCCCCGAGCAGGGCAGGGGGGAGGTTTAACGGGGGGCAGCAGCGGCAGCGCCCCAGAACCAGGCAGGGCTTTGCGGTACCGAGGTTGCAGAAGAATTTAGAACAGCCAAAGGCTGGGAGCAGCCCCACGCAGGAGGATCCTGTGCAGAGGATTTAAAGAGCACAATCTGTTCGGCTCGTCCCAGAGACCGAGGGGGGGCTCGATCACCCCAGGGAAGGACTTTCGCAGGGAAATACTAAACGGCTTCTTTAAATAAGCCGAGAGAGATATAGAAAGCCTCAATCTCTGGAAGCTGAAGCCAGACAAATCCACACTGAAAATGAGATGTGAAATGTCGTGGGTGCGGGGTGATTAACGCCGGATAACGAGCACTAAACCCCAACAGCCTGACCCCCCCAAACGGCTCTGCTCAGACACGGCTTACTGTCTACAGCCTGGAAGTTCTAAATCCCGTCTCTGCTCCCTGCACAGTACATCTGGTTTTTAAATCCGCTGCTTCTCTCGCATCCAGGTCTCCCCTCGGCTTCTTCTCCCCGGGCTGAGCCCCCCCCACCCCCCTCACACGGCTCATGCCCCAGACACGCCCCCACTCCCAGCACTTCTCAATAGCAAAGCACAGGATGTCGATTAAATGATGAAAAGCAGGATCAATGACTTTGTGCTCCTTCAAGTGAGTGAGAAATTCCATCTGGAGGGTTTCAGAGAGTCATCACAGACTGGTTTGGGTGGGAAGGGACCTTAAAGACCACCCAGTGCCACCCCCGGACACCTCCCACCAGCCCAGGTTGCTCCAAGCCCCCTCCAACCTGCCCTTGAACCCCTCCAGGGATGGGGCAGCCACAGCTTCTCTGCCCAACCTGGGCCAGGCTCTCACCACCCTCCCACCAAACAAGTTCTTCCCCACAGCTCAGCTCCATCTCCCCTCTTTCAGGCTCAAACCCTTTCCCCTCCTCCTAGGGCTCCCCTCCCTCATCCAGAGTCCCTCCCCATCTCTCCTGGAGCCCCTTGAGGGACTGGAAGGGGCTCCAAGGTCTCCCCGGAGCCTCCTCTTCTCCAGGCTGAACCCCCCAACTCTCTCAGCTCCCCCTCCCAGCAGAGGGGCTCCAGCCCTCCGGGGCCTCCTCTGGATCCGCAGCGGCACATAATGGCGGAAGAGGGAAGGACGGGCCTTTGGCGGGGCACGCCGGGAGCTGTAGTCCTGACCACCCGAGATGGTCCTTCGGGGTCTACACGCAGCGCCACGGGATAAGACTACAACTCCCATCGTGCCCTGCGAGAGGGCGCTCCGCGCATGCTCAGAGCAGGACTACAGCTCCCAGCGTGCCCTGCGGCGAGGCGGAAGCGGCGCGATGGCGGCAGGTGAGGGGCCCGTACCGGCCGCGGCTCCGGTCGCCCGCGGCCCGGCGGGTTGAGGGCCCCTCTCTATGGCCGCAGGTCGGTAGCCGGTGTCACCGCCAACGCCATGGCGCTGATCGAGGGCGTAGGCGATGAGGTGACCGTGCTCTTCGCCTTGCTGCTGGTGGCCGTGGTGCTGGGGCTGGCCTGGGCCTCCACCCGCGCCCCCGAGCCCGCCGCGCCGCCCCGCCCCGCCGCCCCCCTGCCCGAGGAGGGACCGAGCGCCGCACCGGGCCCCGCCGAGCACAAG